CCTTGATGGCCAGAAATGAATATCTCAAATATTTCAAAGTTCTTATGCAAACTACCTCTTCCAATGCCACATCTTAACTTCATGCCTGTGTCTACAAAACCAAACCAAACCAAACAAAACCCTAGACGTCTCCTTTTCCCTTTTAAATTGGTGACCTCATGGATTTTGTTTTACAGTTTATGGAAAATGGTGTGGTGATCCTTCCGGTAGACAGGAAACTGACAACAAACAGAAACACCTCTCTTCACACCACCAGATGACAGGCAGGCTAGAGGAACCTGCCCACCTGTTGGCACCTGTGTACTATGACAGTCTGGTACCTCGGAGGGCTCCAGTTGGGTACAAGGGAGACCCCTACTGCCAGGATAAGCACTTGCCACATGACACTTGGGCTCTCAAAAACACCGTGCTATCTCTGACCCAAATTTTAGCACCAGTTTTTTCCATCTCACTTTTTAGGACTGAAACACAAAGGAAAGAGCGTCCAGAAGGAAGTGACGTAGGCCTTAAACATGCTGCCATCCTTAATTTCTTCATTCATAAACTTTGCTTAAAAGACCCAAATCCTCATTCCTCTTTTAAAATAGATTCCTGCCCTTAGCCGGGATGGCCAACAGCAGACTTCTACTTCCCCACGGATGAGAGAGACTCCTTCATCTTCCTGGTCATGGTTAGGATGAGGTTCATGTGTGTTCCACACACTTGGTCACACAACTCTCCAGCTGTTGTTTCACCTGAGGCTCTTTACTCCCTGCATCTATTGAATCTTTGGCTTTGTCGTTGCAATGCATGGTGCACCGGGTCAGGCAGTCCTGGAACTTCCCCAACTCGCTGGTCACCAGGGACTGGGCTTGAGCCAGAGGCATATGGGAGTGCTCAATGCACTGGTGCACTTGCTGCATGGACGCGTGGCTGTCCTCACGACAGCCGGCGCTGCACCAGAACATGAGGCCCTGGATCTTCCGGATGTTCTCCCTCTCCAGATTCTTCACCATGGAATCCACCGCCTCTCGCACCTGGAGCTGCTGCAGCTCTGCCATGGCGACCCTGTGCTGTTAACTCGCCGCGCTGGTGCCCACATGGACTCCCGCGCATAGGCCCGCCCCATCACTGCCACTTCTGGGGTCACCGTGCCGCGCCCCTCCCCAGTTTTATTCTTTTTAGTAGCTGCGTAATATTCCATTGTGTGTACATACACACACACACACACACACACACACCCCTCATCTTCTTTATCCATTCACCTGTTGATGGGCACTTAGGTTGCTTCCATATCTTGGCTATTGTAAATAAAGCTACAATGAACATAGGGGTACATATATCATTTTGTATTAGTGTTTTCATATTTTTTGGATAAATACCCATAAGTGGAATGGTTGGATTATATGGTAGTTCTATTTTTAATTTTTTCAAAGGAAACTCCATACTGTTTTCCATAGTGGCTGCACCAATTTACATTCCCACCAGCAATGCATGGGGGTTCCCTCTTCTCCACGTCCTCGGCAACACTTTTTATTTGTGTATGTATAACACCTCTACTTTAGATGTAACAGAAAGAAAACAGAACTGCTGTTTTAAGACTTAGCTTCAGCCTGGGCCACTTGGGTTAGGAGGAAGACAGAATTCCTCAAGGAGCAGACCTCTATTTCTGGGAAATCATCCTAATGAACTTATAAAAAGTAGAGACCATAAGGAAATTTGAGTCTTGATCTGACAGTGAGGGAGAAGGAAGTTGGGGTCCCTGACATGGAGGGGAGAGGGTCTTTGTACAGAGAGGAAGCCCTACAAAGATGGTGGCAGATGGGGTTCTGAATAAGTATGAGAAATGACCCTCGTCTGCATTTTCTGCTCAATTTTTCTGTAAATGTAAAAGTGCTCTAAAAGTTAAAGGCTATTAATAGAAATGAGGAAGGAAGGAAGGTAGGAAGGAAGGAAGGAAGGAAGGAAGG